TTGGCTTCTTCAGGTTAGAATGAAAGAAAAAACACGAAAATGCGTTTGTATCTTTGACGATATTTTGAAATACAACACATACCAACAGCTCTAACATATATATTTCTTTTATATATATATATATATATATATATATATATATATATATATATATATATAAATAAACCCTTTCGCTTTAATCAGACAAATTTAAATTCCAATTCTTCACACTTATCACCATTTTCTTATAGTATCACCCGAAACGTCACGTCATCCATCATTCTGATTGTGAAGTTTCAATCTTGAATATAATCTTGAATATAATTTTATCTGGGGATGTTATATGTTTTTTTTTTAATACTTTTCTGTTACTATAAACGTGATATTTTCTCGTGGCTACACGTGTTTGACTAGATATCACTTCGCTTTTAAATATAAGTCTATATCCGCTGATTTTATTTTTCGCAAACGAAACATAAACAAAGTAATTTTAATGGAATTAATGGTTAGATCAGTTACGACTGACTAGTGAGTTCGATCCTCACTGGGTGCTCCACACTTTCGGCCTTGTGCCACATCTATGTTACGATTGGAAAATCCCTATACAGGGAGAGATTAATCTGGTATACTATACCGGAGTAGATGAGGTACATACAGAAATTCTGGTGGTCATAATGCTCACTCAGGCACTTATTGTAGCGATACCGATGACAAGACACTTTGTCAAAACACCTGGGGATTGTGTAGAACCCAGGGAGAATGGTTTTTCCAGTGTTAATTCGAAGTAATGTATGTCTAGGTAACTGTTATCAACGTAAGAAGGGAAATTGGCGAGCCGAGTTCGAATTCAGACCTCGTCTGTTGCATTCACGTTTTCACTAATTCTCTTAACAAAAACATCAATTCATCTTTTCTCTTCCTCGCCTAGAGGTAAAATAACAGGGTAGACTTTTCTCTATAGCATTGATCACTCTAACTAGTTTAAAAGAAGGTAAACTCTGAATTCCAAACCGCGTATAAAGCAACTGGGAACTCATTCCACCCTTTTTCTAAAAATATGGCAATTCGCATATATTAAAAAAGAAAAGGAAATTGTGGAGAGTCATGATTGCGTGCATTTTAAAATGACATGGTATTTTAAAAAAAAAACTGATTAAATTTAAACAGCCTCAGATGTGAGGCAGCCAGTGGGAATCCAACTCACTACAGTAGTAATGGTTTAAATGACTAGCTCGTTAACCGTTACTTCACAAGGTAGGTATTTACTAAGCTTAGGTATTTACTAAACTTAGTTTAGTATGGCATAAACTACCAATGTGAATCGAACACACTTAGGTAGTAATGGCTTTCAGCATTGGCTCGTAAACCATTACTCTCCAATGAGGTTTGTTTAATCGAGTTCCATATCTGGGGCACTCAGGGGAATTAAACACAGTAAAGTAGTAATGGCTAGCAGGAATAGCTTGTTAACCATTACTTTACCAAGAGACGTTATTACACATTTTGTTTTTAATTCCGAAACATTTTTTTGCCATTATAGCAGAGAATGCATGACAATCTCTTTACAGATGAAGAGGAGATCTGAAACGGCAGATACGTGGTTCTACAGAAGGATGCTGAGAATAAGGTAATTTCTAAGGAATCAATGGATTTTTTTATCCGACATTATTTCCTACTACTTCAAACATTATTTGTGCAGGTCAGTAGAAGCAATGCACACTGTTAAACACACACACAAACAAAAGCAGGGGTATTCAGAAAATAAGGCATGTAATTGTGATTTTCCAAGCGTAGCTTACATGTGGCACAAGGCTGAAAGTATGGGGCACCCAGTGAGGATTGACCTCACTATTCATTCATAATTGTTCTAGCGAGACATGCTTGCAAACCATCACACCATTTCGGGACGCCCAAACGATTGATATAGTAAAGAAGATGCCGAGAATGCTATAGACTTAACATGTGCACAAAGAGGAAGATTTATTCCAAAAGCTGGGCAGAGTATTACGAGACAGCAGGATTTCTCTGGTAACAAAGATAAGAATACTGAGCTGTTGTGTGACATCTATCTTCTTTACGACAGCGAATGTTGGACGATTTTCTTAAAGATGAAGAAGAGACAAGAGGCGAAGGTCATGTGGTTCTACAGAAGGATGCTAAGGATATCATCGACCGAGCGTGTGACCGTGTGAGCAAAGACGAGGAGGGTTATACTTAAGATCATGAAGAGGCAGCAGTTTCTGGGACGCATAATGAGGAAGGAGGGCCTGGAGAATCTGATACTCACGGGTCAAATAGAGGGAAAGAGAGACAAGTGAAAACTAACGCATGACATACCTAGAGAGCATAACCAAGTGGATGACAGAACGTGGTCTGGAGGAGGAAGCAGAGGGAAGGAACATGTTGAGAGTTGCAAGGGATAGAGGGAGAAGTGGAGAGCCATGATCACCTACGTCCTGAAAGGATATGGCACATAAAAAAAGAAAGAAAGAACTAAATGGATATTGATACTTGCAATCAGAAAGAGACGGTTCTGGAATTCATAATGGGGAAAGAGGGTCTAGAGAATTTAACACTCTCGTGATATACTGAATGAAACAAGGTGAGTAAACTACCTAACGAGTTTGGATGGTAGAAGAGGAGAAAAGAGAGATGGTCAAGTGTTATTGGTTACTGTGATCAAGACAGGAAGGTTTGGAGAGGTATAATTGCCCACGTCTTTAAGAGACACGGCGTATAAAAGAATAAGATTTATCTCAGAAACCCGGGCAACCTGTTTGGGAGACTACGGTTGATAAATCCTAGTCGGCAAGTAACGGCTTATAGAGATAAGCTAACGAAGAAAATAGTTTTCATTAATAACAGGTGGGGGCCATAGAAACGTAAAATATGAAAGGCCCCTTAATTCTATACATTTTTTCTTGATTTTTATCGTTTTGCTATTTAAAAAATACAGGAGAGGCATAAATAAAACACATATGACACATCAGCGAGAAAAAAACAATGAACGGTTTTTTATATGCTGCACGGTATAGAAATTTTCGTGTTGAACAATACTGACCTTTGACATCTTGCTCACGCATAAATCAAGACCGTGAAGGATCCCCACACCCGACAATTTCCCTAATCAAAGGGTTGCTGTTACTAATTTTACTACCACCGCCATCACTAGCGGGCACAGTAGCACGAAGTTAGTAATGTCAGCATTTTTCAGAGAAACCTATCCTCGTTCGCGCTAAATCTCTACCCCCGGGCATTAGTATCAGGACCGAGACACCATTGAAATAAAATAGTTTATAAATCAGAAGGTTACAAAGTAAATAAACAAGGTGCTGACAAGTAGGAAGAATGGGATCGGGGTTAGAAGAAGCTGAGCTAAAAGTTGCCTGGTAATATAGAGAGTGCGGCAAAAATACCTCCCACTCACACATACCTCCCACATAATGGTATGACATTAGTGGCATTGTTTTCTTCATCTAGCTAATGTCTTACCAATATGTGGGAGGTATTTCTAGTAGTTATATGTGTGAGGGAGATATTTCTATCAAATGCTGTATATATATATATATATATATATATATATATATATATATATATATATATATATATATATTGCTGATTTCTTGACGAGTGAACAGAGTGATTGCTGGAGAGTTCGTTTACGAGACTCTAGAGTCGAGAATCAGCTAATCTTATGTTGGCATTAATCCTATATATATATATATATATATATATATATATGTATATGCAAGTATAATCATACACATACAAGCCTGTTTCACTGTATCATAGACATCCGATTGCTTCAAGCCGGGATCGACATCGGTCAGAGATTCTACCCCTAAGCTATCGGTGCATGACACAGAAATGGAAATTTTAACGTATTATATACGTGATGTATATAAACGCCAGTAGCCCATAGCGCTCAATTCGTAACTGCAGAGCGATGCGTTAATAGCAGGAGCAGCGACTGTTCTCAAATTACCCTTTTGCTACAGTGCTCAATCGTTTATAACGAGAGAGAAAGAGGGAGAAAGAAAAAGAGAGAGAGAGAGAGGGAGAGACAGAGAGAGACATACAGATAGAGAGAGATAGAGAGGCAGCGAGAGAGAATTAATATAATAGTTTTGTTACTTAGCTGATTGATGCTACATTCAAATTTTATATTTGTATTAATCATATATATATATATATATATATATATATATATATATGAACCTAAAGAGCCAGGTAAACCTACCTAGGTTTCACCTAAAAGGATCGTCAGGGTCAAACTGGCCAAACAGGTAAAAATGGAACAGAATATATATAGCTTAAACCAAAAACAACAACCGTGACCACGTGATAAAAAAAACAAAAAACAAAACAAAACAACAAAAAAAAACAAAGTAAAACCAGTAAACACTGCTCTTTTTCGTGTATTGAGCACTTTACGTAGTTACTTTTATTCGTTTTGGAGTTTTTCTTTCTTTGGATTCTGAGCTTGGATTCTGGACGATTGTTTTCGCCTCAATTTCATGTTCTTAGTTCTTTCTTTTTTTATTCCTCATTCCTTCGGTATGGTTTGTTCAACTCCAAGCCGAAATACCTAAGGTTTTTCCAAGCGAGTACCACTATATATATATATATATATATATATATATATATATATATATATATATATATATAGAGAGAGAGAGAGAGAGAGAGAGAGAGAGAGAGAGAGATTATTAAATTGTAAATGTTTTTAGGCACCAAAATTGCTGGTTCTTTTGCCGTATTTTATTGGTGGAAAGACATTTTAAGTTTGCAGGGTTTTGTCATAAAGTGCTCGATATCAAAAGGTAAAGGTAGAGCGTTAATAGAATTAATGTTGAGAAAATTATCGCTTAACTGAGTGGTGTTATTTCAGACATACCAATTTGATTTGGAGAACCCAAGAGTCCTGAAGGGCGAAGGCATTTACTACAATGCTCTCACGAAACTTCGAAGTCGGCATGACTAAAATAATTATTTCTTTTACTCTCTCTCTCTCTCTGGCTTACAGTCATATCATGTTAAAACACCGGTTCCCGTACGATCATCGAAGTTAAGCAACATCAAGCCTGGTCAGTAGGCGATCGCTTGGGAATACCCGGTGCTGTAAACTTGGATGTGCGGGTGATGTAATGGATAATGGCTTAGAATTGTTAATCGGAGAGTCGAGTTCCAATTTCAATTGCTTTTGTTACACGCAAATAACGTTGGGGAATGTACGATTCCCCTTTTTCTCCCCTAGTTCTGGGTTAATTACTAAGATTTTTATCACTAAACCATTATTATCTCAAAAATGATTCTTACAATCTGAATGATATTTTCTGCCTTTAAATAACCTACAAAGAGTTGATAAACCGTAGAAAACAGATATAACAATAAAATCTCTCTCTCTCTCTCAATATATATATATATATATATATATATATATATATATATATATATATATATATATATGCATGTGTGTGTATGTGTGTGTGTAAAACTGACCTCTGTCATGGCTGAATATGGATGTCACAGCTGTTAACTATTATCTTGTCTGTGTATAAAATTGTTTGAGGAGTTGTTTGCCTAAGTGCTTTTTCGCCTACTTTCTTGTCAAATATCGTTCCTTGATGGCGATGAGGCATTTTTACTAAAATGATGAGGCAGGCGTCTTGTTTTTCCAAGTGTATTAGGGTTTCACTCTTGCATACACAGACAAATACACACGCACTCATAGTCACACGGTGTGGACATGGGAATCAACACAGTATAGTGACTGACAGTTTCATGCGATCATCAGACCCTATCTATATGTACAAATAACTATCTCTGATATTGAGCACTTTTCCTCTATAGAAAATAGATTTTCAATCGGATTAATAAATTAAAAAAAATCCATTACTTCTTTAGAAATTGCTTTGTTTACGTTTAGATACAAAACTGACCAGATATGACTGTTTCGAGAGTCGGAGAAAGATTTACGTTTATAAGGCCCTATTCAACTTTGCTTGATCAGCGACTCACTCTGTAGCTGAATCAGTAAAAGCATGTTCGACCTAAAGGCAGTTTCTCCTGCCAAGAGCGGACGCAGGTTCGAACCTTAACAGATATTTTTCTTTAATAAGATTGCTCGAATATTTGGACCGGTAGGCGAAAATAAATAAATATACTGTTTCATAAATAAAAGGTTTGATTTATTTTGTTTTACGGTATATCAACCTCAATGGGTTATTTAATGCCGAGAAATTTTTTATTGCTGGTAATATTTTGTTTTGTCAAAAATCTTTTTCTGGTAATATTTTTCCTTCAAAATTGTATTGCTGGTAATAATTTTTTCAAAAAAAGTATTGCTGGTAATAGTTAACTATTTGACCATAGCTGGGACCCTAACAGGTGCTACCACCCCGGGTCATGGTGGACCTGAGAACATCAGCAATTAAAAGGTGGTTCCACGCTCCTCAAAACCTCCTGATCAGAGGCCTTGCTGCTGGACGTAGTTTATCGTTTTACCCAGGACGGAATAAATAAAAAGAGCGTCTACTTAAATATGAGTATCCACTAAAAATAATGTTTAAGTAATAAAAAATTATATGCAGAATATCTCATATTATTTAAGATTTGAACATTAAATCCCTGGGATAGTCACCATCACGAAGAGAATGTTCACGAGCTCTCTATCTCATTTCAAACACAGTTGACATTGTCTGTTTCACGGATCTTTGTAACAGTACACAAGGTTAATTTTCGGGATGATGCGTGTCGCTTTCCAAAATGCTGTTGGAATTTCCTTTGGGCTGCAACGATGGATCTTTGACTGGTGAGGTATGTTTGCAATACGTATTTTTTTCTTTCGGAGTCCACGACATTAGGAGTGTCCACCGTCAACAAAAGCGATATAAGTTAGATGTAAGAAATAGCAAAATCTGAGAACCGGACTTACTTAGGCAGTAATGGCTTTCAGCATTGGCTCGTAAACCGTTACTCTCCAATGAGGTTTGTTTAATCTAGTTCCATATCTGGGACACTAGGGGGAATTAAACATAGTAAAGTAGTAATGGCTAGCAGGAATAGCTTGTTAATCATTACTTTACCAAGAGACGTTATTACAATTTTTTTTAATTCTAAATTTTGCCATTATAGCAGTGAATGCAGGACAATAAGAGATATATAGTACTCTGGTATATCAGTTACGTAATAAATATATATGGTAACATTTTTATAATCCAAGATTCTCGCATTTGAAATGTGTTCCATCATTATGGAGGCACCTGTATACAAAGCGTGTGTACGAGGCAGATTTATTCCAAAAGCTGGGCAGAGTATTGCGAGGCAGGAGGATTACTTTGGTAACAAAGAAAAAAATACTGAGCTGTTACGTGACATTTGTACTTCATTACGGCAGCGAATGTTGGACGATTTCCTCAAAGATGGAGACTCGAGGTGACAGAGATGTGGTACTACAGAAGGATGCTAATGTTTTCATTGACCGAGTGTGTGAGGAAGGATGATGTCTTGGAGAGGATGCAAACAATGAGGAGGCTTATACTTAACATCAGGAAGAGGCAGCTGAAATTTCTGGGACGCATAATGAGGAAGGAGGCCTTGGAGAATCTGATACTCAAAGGTTTATTAGAGGGAAAGAGAGACAAGGGAAAACAACGCGTGACATATCTAGAGGGATTAACCAAATGGATGACAGAACGAGGTCTGCGAGAGGAAGCAGAGGGAAGGGAGATGTTGACAGCTGCAAGGGATAGAAGGACGTGGAGAGCCATGATCGCCTACGTCCTGAAAGAACATGACACATAAAAAGAAAGAAGGAACTAAATGGATATTGATACTTGCAATCAGAAAGAGACGGTTCTGGAATTCATAATGAGGAAAGAGGGTTTTGAGAATTTGACACTCACATGATATACTGAATGCTGTCAGAATTTCCTTTGGGCTGCCATGATGGATTTTTGGCTGGTGAAGTATGCTTGCACTGCGTATTGTTTTTCTTTCGAAGTCCGTGAGATTAGGAGAGTCTACCGTCAGCAAAAGAGATATCAGATACATGTAGGAAATTGAAAAATCTGAGATATGTTGTACTCTTGGATATCAGTTATGAAATAAATATATTTGGTACTCTATGTCATTTTTATAATCCAAGATTCTTGCATTTAAAATGTGTTCCTTCATTATAGGATGCCCTGTATAGAAAGCGTGTGTACGTTCTTGGTTTAGTTTGTTTGGTTTTACTGCATATCAACACCTCAGTGGGTTATTTAATACCGACGACATTTTTAGGATAGATTCGTATGAATAGAACATGTATTCTTTGGTTTAGATTGGTTTGGTTTATTTTGTTTTACGGCATATCAACCTCAATGGGTTATTTAATGCCGACAAGATTTTTTAGGATGGATTCGTATGGATAGAATATGTATTCTTTGGTTTAGATTGGTTTGGTTTATTTTGTTTTACGGCATATCAACCTCAATGGGTTATTTAATGTCGACAATTTTTTTTTATTGCTGGTAATGTTTTTCTTCTATTTCTGGGAATATTTTTCCTTGAAGAAATCTATAGCTGGTCATATTTTTTCCAAAGAATCTATAGCTGTTTGTATTGCTGGTATTTTTTTAAAGTATTGTTGATAATAATTTTTCCTTCAAAAATTATTGCTGGTAATAATTTTTTTTTTTATTACAAAGTATTTCTGGTATTAAAATCTATTTTTACACAAGTTTGAGTGTTAACTATTTGCCCAAAACTGGGACTTTAAGATGTGCTACCACTCCGGGTCAGGGTGGACCTGGGAACACCCGCAATTAAGAGGTGGTTCCACACTCCTCAAAACCTCCTGGTCAAAAGCCTTGCTGTTGGATGTAGTTTATCGTCTTACCCAGGACACGAATGTAGTTTATCGTCATACCCTGGACGGGGGTACGTTCTTGCGTGTGTTCATGAGCTAAGCAGTTTTAATTACTTGCTTCCAGAGGAAGGCATCATTAAAAGCAACTTCCGTTTTCCTAAATATATTCTCATAAAAACACTTTGAAAACATACACCAGACACAGTATATCTCCGCCCGTTCTGTTGACAAGCGATTTCATACCCGCCTACAATTGCAGTTTTTTTTTTACAAGATCACACTGCTAACTTTCACATAACCCAGGTTATTTTTTGTAGCCAGTCATTTAGGGCAACAGACGTTGTCATCAATGCGGAGAGTGGTCCCATTCTTTTGGGTTCGGTTAATAGGAGACTCATTCTTAGAACCATTACCAGAGGATCACCACCCACAGAGAAGAATTACTCCTCAGTACTTAGATAACTTCCCTGCCAACATTTTTCTCGGAAGTATTTATTGAATGTTTTATGTCCCAAGTAATTGGCTCTCCCTGCCGTTATTTTTAGTGCTTTTAAGTCAGCACCATCGTCCTCAGTTTTCTGAAGTTCTTAGATCAACTAGATAAGTTTGATGCAAAACATTCCAGCATTTTCTATAGGAGAAATTGTTTTACATATTTAAATTCCTCATTAAAATGTCTTCCCTGACGTCTCAACGGCATATTCAATTATTTTGAGTTCTTCGATTTGAGTCAATGAATTCCTTGATATCTTGAATTTATCGGAATCCCTGATTAGACAAGTAATGTCGCTTGATGAAAAGAAAGCGATCATCTGATGCTGACATGTCTGGGAATATGTTTCATTCAAAAGAACTACCTATTCTACATCCTTGGTCGTTTACGCAGACGAAATTGCTACTTGAGAACGGTAATTGGTGCTAACATAGTATATTTACCATCCATTTTTTACTATAGTATGGTATCCACTATTCATTTTCTTCTATAATATGATATCTAATATTCATTTTCTACTATAGTATGATATCTACCATCCATTTTCTACTATAGTATGATATCCACTATTTATTTTCTACTATAGTATATCTGCTATTCATTTTCTACTATAGTATGATATCTGCTATTTATTTCCTGCTATAGTATATCTGCTATTCATTTTCTACTATAGTATGATATTTACCAACTGTTGGAGGTATGAAACGTCTTAAAAACCCAAACCCTAAACTTAACTGTTAAAAAGGTCATCGCTTCATCTTCAATTGAGATTATTTTATCTGATGTTATCTTCCTTATTTTGTAATGGAATTACATAAATGTCTCCTTTATGAATAGATAAAAACCCCACTCTTTAGTTTAAAATAACACTGTTTATAGTTTGAAGAATTAATTGCTGTAGGCCGTAAGTGGGTTTTTTTTTGGTAGAATGCATCGTCATTTACGGTAGGTCGCAAATGCCTCGGTAAATATCATATTATATCAGCTCCCAGTAATTAATACGCAGCAAAACCATCAGCGACTTACAATGCCCTGAAAAGGTCTTGTCAGTTCCAATTACTTAGGGTCGAATAACGACAGATGCCTTGCAAAAGATAGACAAATTATTAAGAAACAGGAACATTTCGTTACAAACAAAGAAAAGAGTACTAAGCTCTTATGTAATATCAGTTTTCCTCTTTGTCAGCGAAAGTTGAACAATCTCCTCACAATGATGAAGAAACTGAAATGTGGTTCAACATAATAATATTGAGAATCGCTTGAACTGAACATGCGAGGAGGTTTTAAAGAAAATGAAAACAAAAAAAACATTTATAGTTAGAATCAGGAAGAGATATTTGATATTTTCGTGACACATAATGTGGAAAGAGGGCTTGGAAAATTTGACACTCACAGGACATATCGAAGTCAAGAGGAGCAGAGGAAAAAACGAGTAACCTACTTAAGAAAGTACTGTAAACCGATGGCAGAATAGGGATTGGGAGAGATAACGAAAGGACAGACCTTACTAAGAGCTACAAAGGATAGGAAGTTGTAGAGAGCCATGATCGTCTACGCCCCAAAAAGACATTCCACATAGAAGAAGAACAAGGAAAAGAAGAAGAGTTTTGTAGTTTCAGTCTGTCCAAGTTCTACGTACTGAGTCCCTGTAGAACGTGTGCGATCATGACTCTCCACGACGTCTTATTCTTCTAAACAATGTTTGAATCTAAGCAATGTTTGAATCTGTACTATCCCTTCAAGTTTCTATTTTGCCACCCATTTACGAATGCTTGTTAGCTATTTTTCTCTGGCTCTCTTGCCTTTGTCCACTGAGTCCTCATTAAGCGTCTTAGAAATTTTCACTCTTTCTGATTCAAACTACAAGTGTCATTTTATTCTTATTTTAAATTGCTCTACCTCGTTGCTAACATGTCCTGTCCATTACATTCCCAGCATCCTTCTGTAGAACAAAATCTTTGCTGTTTTTTTAAGTCTCTTCTTCATCTGTTACAAAATTGTTCAACATTACCTCTCTTATAGAAGGACTGGCATTTTTTTTAGTTCAGTACTATTTCCTATTTTTCTGAGGAAACTCTCCTGTTTCTTAATACTTTACTTAGTTTTTGGAAGACATCTTTCACTATTCCCATGCGCCTTTGGACCTCTGTGTTACATATTTCGTTGTCTCTTAAATCACTTCCAAGATATTTCAATCTCTTAGTATCTCGCATTCTGGAAGGTCTCACTTGTTAGCGACCACCAAACGCGTTCACAAATATCTAAACTGCCGCTTTCTAAGATCAATGGTGAAGGGTCTAGGCAAAGATCATCCTTCTTTGAACATTGTGGACTGGCGCAACAGAATCAAAAACAAAGATCTGTACCAAATAACAGATACCACATCAAATGAGGACTACCAGCAGCAACAACTAAAAGGATTTAACTCGAAGAGAAAATAATGGTATAATCAAGATGTTAACATTCCACACCATTTCAAATAGAAGCATCGAAGGGAAACCTCTATCAATACTGGAAAGATGGATAACAGCTACTGGACCTGAGAAAATACGTTTTCCGAAGAAAGTGTTTTAAGAGAAAGATTTTATAAATTTCAACCGGAAACAGTACTAGCTGCTCGGTAAATGAAGCTAAATGTTTCCTTATAGGGAAACGGCTAATATTACCATTACGATATATTCTGACTTCTTACAGGAGATAGTCCTTTCTTCTTGATTTCCTTTGCTACTTTGTCTAGGTATTTCTACAGTTTTTTTTTTTGCTGTGTCTGTTTGTCAACATGGTGTTGTCTATGTATCTCATCTTAAGATTCCCACCAATAATAAATTTAGAACTTCTAGTCTTCTTAGTATCCCGCGCTTCGCCTCACATTGAGTTTCACCCAATCACAGAGAAGCATTTTTCCCTAATAGGTCTTCTTTAGAATAATTTGAGATGTAAAGCTATACTGCATATAGCGACATGAGTTTCTTCCTTAGGAATTCTCGTAATGACTCCATTTTTCATCGCCAGCGACTATTTTGTCAATAAATGCCTTCTCCTATGTCGAACGCGAAGAGACCGCAGTTACTTTTTGTCTTGTAAATGAAGCGCTAAAGTAGATGGAGCGAACAAACCCAAAGTCATGATTTATGTCGGAATTTTTTAGATGAGATATTTATCATTCTTATACGCTTTGTTATTTAAACTAGCATGTTCATCTTGTTTGTCATACTCACAAGGTTTCGACACCTTCTTCAGATGTCTGCTTTATATGTTTTTCTGTTCGAACCAACATGCTTGTTTTGTTTATTATTTTATTTTTTTAAATAAATGTTCACCTAAAACAAGGCACCAGAGCCACTGAAGAGAGTGTGTTGATGAATTGGCACAAGAGGAATACGTAAGTGTAGGTTATGAGGATATGTAGGATAGATAACGGTTCTCTCTAGACTTGAAGAGGTTATAGCGATCAGGGAAGCATCCTCTCGGGAGTTTGTTCTACAAAGTAGCTGTTTTCGGGAAGAACTTTCTGTGGTGATTTCCTTGTTACCAATAGAATAGAAAAGAAATGAGAATGATTCGATCCTCTGTACGCGGTATGGTGGTCTGTAATTGTTTGAAATGATGGAACGATTAGGTCGCTGTACTCTTCCACGGAGTCAGGGAGAAATATATTTTCCGTTTTCTGTTTTTAATATTTAGTGGACATTTCATATTAGTCAATCAATGCTCCGAGTAAATAATTTCTGCTTTTCTTTTTGTCACAAGACCTCTATGATTAAATGTACCAATGGTAAAGATCTTTGGATAGAATTGGAGACATTTACAAAATTTTAAAAATGAAGCTGCCAACTTTTAACGGCTGGCAACTACAGAAGTCATTTTCTTCTTCACCAAAAAATAACCGATTGTTAAAAACTTTTTTTTTCGAAAGAGCGTTGCAAATCAGATCATTACATCACATGAATGAACAGAATATTTCTTTTTTAAGAGCATCTCAATCGGGCCACGACCTTTTCAGCATGCCCTTTGATATACATGTAATATTCCCCGGGAACCTCGACGTGTCACAATAGCTAGCAATCATGTCATGCTCGGTCAGTTCTGACTGAGTAGTGAGTTCGATCCTCACTGGGTGTCACCATACTTTTGAGATTGTTTCGCAACTAAGCTACACTTAAAAAATCGACATATAACATCTGCAATCGAATTTTTGGCATTTACTGAACGGATTCTCACATTAACGTAAAATTAAACCGATGAAAAAAATAAATTGAATAAATATCATAGTCCTCCACATCTTCCTGTCCTTCGTAGCTCTTAATAAGGTTTGTCTTTTTGTTATTTATCCCAAAGCCAGTTCTACCATGCAATTACTCAAGCTTATCAGGTATGTTACGTGCTACTTTTCTCTGTCTTCGTTTTTTCCTCAATTTGTCCTATGAGTATCAGGTTTTCTAAGCAATCTTTCCTCATTATGTGCTCCAGAAATTTCAAATGCCTCTTCCTGAAGTTAAATATAAATTTCTTTTTGTTTCCATATCCTCCTAAACCTCGTTGTTGCTCACATGTTCGGTCTATGGTATCGTCAGCATCTTTCTGTAGGACCACATTTCTGTTGCTTTAAGTCGCTTCATCTTTAAGGTCGCTGCATTTAATGATGCTTTTGATGGAGACTAACTAGGAATGTGAGAATGTATTTGCAAAAGTGGGAATTTTTTCTTTTTACCTTTATAAAAAAAATGTCAAAAGTAAAACAAAAAAAAAACTTCATGGAAAGTCAAGAAACGCCAAGCTAAGTATCTACCTCATCATAATGATTAAATAAGTAAACATAAGTAGAAAAATTAAATAATCAGCGTATGTCTCGTTTTTGTTAGAATATTTGTTTATTTATTTCTTCTGATAACTCCCCCCCCCTAAACTCCGAATATTCTTCGGGGTCTCTGTCTTTTATTCTCTCGTTCGCTATTCTTCTCATCGTGTCTTGTCTTCTTTTCATCATTCCAATTCTAAACTTTCAATTCTTTCTCTATCTTTCATTTTATCCTCTTTCTCTCTTTTTATAATTTCCTCTCACCTTTTTTTTTTTTTTACTTTTTATTTTTTCTTTCTCCTTTTCCTTGCCTTTTATATTTTTTACCCATTTTCATCTCTCGTTTTACGGTGGGTTTTAGTTACGTCGCTTGATTTTTTCCTCCTTTCCTCTTTCATTTCTTATTTCTCTTTCTCGCTTTTTCTTCTCTTTCTTTTCCACGTCAATTCCCATTCTTTTTTTTTCTCTCTCTGCGTTACCGACCTTTTGTGTCCTTCTCTTTTTATTATGGTCTCTTTTCTCATTCTGTTTCGCTTTTCTATTGCTTTATTTTAATTTTCTTTTTCTTTTTTCTTTGCTCACTCATTTATCCTTCTTTTGGTCTGAATTCATTTGTTTTCAGTTTTTTATTCTCGCATTCTTAAACCCTCCCATTTTAACCCCACATCTCTTTTACTCCAGTTTCCATATCTCTCTTTCTAATTTAATTTCTCGATTTTTCGTTTTTTGTTTCATCTCTCTCTCTTTCTCTGTTTCCCTTGAAAGACATTTTCTTATTCTACTCTCTCCCTCACTCTTTTTCAATATTGTATCTTTTTTTTTTCGTTATAATCTTTCTCGTCACTCTCCTTTTCCTGGGTTACCCCCTCTTTATTATTGTTCCTTCTGTCGCTTTTTCCATTTCCCTTTGTTTTTCAACTTTTCATTACGCGTTTCCCTGTCTTCCTGTCTCGTTTCCCCCATTATCCTCTGCCGTTTCTCGCCATCTTTCTCTTTTCCCTTTAACTGTCTTCTGTTTTCTGTTCCCCTCGCTTTTCCCCATCATACGATTCCGTTTCTCGCCCCCTTTCTCTTTTCTGCCTGATCTTTTTCTGTCCTCCGTTCCTCTCACTGTCCTCTTCCGTTTCTCGTCCTCTCTCTCTCTTTTTAACCTCGACGCTCTTTTGTCTCCCAGTCCCCTCACTTTTTCTCTATTATCCGCTCTCATTTAACGCTTTTTTCTCTTCCCATTCCCTCTACTTCATTATATTTCATTTTTCTGTTCCCTTTTTCTTTTTCACCGTCATCCTTTTCTTTTTTGCTGTCCATTTCTCCCCCTTCCTCATTATCCTTTTCTTTTTTCTCATCTTCCACTCTCTATTTCTCTATTCCCTCTCTCGATTTTCCCGTGTTCTTTGTAAATTTCTCTCTTTCTTTTTTTTTTTTTACCTAATTTCTCTTTCTTTCTATAGCCGCTTTTCTGTTCCTATTCTTTTTCTCTCTAATCTTTCTTCTCATTTTCTTATTTGCTGCCTATTCTTTCACATTTTATCTCTCTATTATTTCCAGCCACTGTCTTCCTCCATTTTCTAATTCTGTCTCTCTCATTCCTTTTTTTGTTTTCCTATAACTTTTCTCTCCTTTTTCATTCTTCTCCCTTGTATTACAATTTCATGAAGAGGGCCCCAGTACTTAAATATACCGCAACTTTAGTGCTAAATTGCTTGATGTACCAGTTGGCACGCCTTTTCTAAGCCAGTCACAGGGTTTGAGGATCTTTTTTTTTCAAACAAAAATGACTTTTAATGCGATCATATTTAACTACGAAAACATTTATGGACATACAAGAAAGACAAACTTCAGAGGCGAAGGCGTTTTTTCTTTGCTCCTCAAGTTGTAAGCCGAATTATTTCTTTTCACTTTTATAATTCTCTAGCGTTTATATTATCTCTACTAGGGGGTGCTGATAAATCCTTTGGTACAATCTTCTTCTATGGGCCGTGTTCCTTCAGAACGTAGGCGATCATAGCTCTCCGCAATTTCCTGTCATTTTAACTCTTAATAAAGTTTGTCTTTTTCTTATCTTCCTCAAACATTCCGTTATCTATTTACTCAAGTTCGTTATGTAGTTATATGTTGTCTTCCTTTGTCCCACTTACGTTCAATCCGTTCTGTGAGTGTCAGATTTTCCAAGCCCTCTTTCCTCATTATGCGCACTAGCAATTTCAACTGTCTCTTCGTGATGCTAAGTTTATGTGTCGTTTATATTTACATTATTCGGACTGCTGTTCTCATCTTTATTGTCATATTCACGATGTTTCGATTGAGATGTTGTGAATATGGCAGTAAGGACGAGTTACAATACCTTATCTCAGAAATATAGAAAGAAATGTACTTTTTGTTCCAATTTTCTCTAAAATTTCATCCTTGTTAGGTATTCTTAGCATCCTTCTGTAGAACCGCATTTCTGTTGCTTCTGCGAGGAGATTGTCCAGCATTCACTATATTAGGCACAAATAAGCGAGTCAAAACAATAAGTAATAAAAGAGAAACATTTTTTGTTATCAATTCACCCCAAGCAAGGCGATAATGCCAATAAGACGCAAGAGATTAAAATGAGAATGCAAAAAAAGACTTTAGAAGGAACCGTAAGCCCTAGTTGCTAAAGAAGTCACAGTTCATGAGAAAATGAAGGTATTTTTTGATTATTCAGGTTTGAGGAGATTTGGTGTCGCTTATATGCAAATCTAACGCCGCCGAATCTGCTTTTAATCAGCATTATGAGACTATCCGCAATAAATAACAAAATTAAGAAAGAGGGGGGGGGGCTAGCGCATATCAGCGTATTTATCGAACAGAATTAACGAACTAACTTCAAGTACCAGATGAAGTTGATGATATCTCACGTTCCACAGTAGCGGACCTCTTTATCCGCGGGTTCGTTTTCCGCAGTTACTGTTGCCCGTGGTCAGCCCAAGAAACAGTTTGTTTTTACTAATGTTCACCAAATACAATGCCCAAGAGTCACTCGAGGAAGAGGATTACTGCGTGGAGCTGTATTAGCGTAGGAAAGGACAAGCGTTGGAGCTGAAGTAGACTTTAGGAGGAGCTGGAAACGCAATCGTAAACAGGATACAAGGAATAAACTTCTACTCCTATTAAAAAAACCGGAGAGGAGTGTGAACCGGGTGAGTTCATAAGATTTACTTCGTAATGGTGTCAAAGATAAAAAAATGTTGCCAATTCGGATAATCCAAAGAGAATCCATAAAGTGCTTAGTTAGCATAATCCTTCTTTCAACCCATGTGCACGGAATAAAAAAATAACTTTGCCATATAAAAGAAACCACATCATTTGAGGACTACCAACAGCAGCAGCAACTAAAATGGATAGCACGTGTAACTTGAAGAGAAAATAATAACATAATCAAAATGTCTACACACCACTTTAAATAAAAAGTTAAGAAAACCCCCATCAGTACTGGAAAGAGCAATAACAGCTACTGGAGTTGAGAAACCTATTTTCATGAAAAGTTGTTTTAGTAGAAAGATTTTTATAAATTTCAACCGACACTAGCATTGGTTGCTGAATTTTCCTTATAAGCAAACATCTAATATTACCATTACTATTAGATTTTTTTTACTAATTTTCAAACAATACAAGACCCAAGAGCCACTTAAGGTAGATGGTTACTGTGTGGAGTTGTATTATCTAAGGACAGAACATGTGTTAGGAGTATAGAGCTGAAGTAAACTTTAGGCGCAACTGGAAACGCAATCCTAAACAGGATACAAGGAATAAACCTCTACTCCTGTTCAAAAGGCCTAGGAGGAGTGTGAACCGGGTGAGTTCATAAGATTTACTTAGTAATAGCGTCAAAGATATAAAAAAATGTTATCAATCCGGATAATCCAAAGAGAATCGATAAAATGCTTTTTTAAGGTGAAAGATCTCAATTTAATAAGGAAAGCAAACAAAAAAAAAAAAATGTTACTGATGTTACGAAGATCTATGATAAAAAAGAATCCTTCATCTTTTTATCGCTTTTATTACCGTATATATGTTTATAATACAATTCATACGTGGAGGCTGTTTGTAACCCGAAATGTTCGTAAACTGAAACTATTTTCTCCTTAGGAACAAAAATATAAAAAAAAAAAATAATCCGTTCCTTGACCCCAGGTGCCGTATCCAAGTAGGCCTCTCTACTACGGTGGCTAGGTGACGCATTTGTGTTTGTTCAACACCTACGGAGCCCACCTGTGGTTTATACTGTAACAATGCTGAGCAGACCTTAGTTACAGTTTCTGGGAGGGAGTGCATCATCAACAGTTTAAAAAGGTCAGTACACCCAAATTCTCGGTCACGATGACTTGTGACTTCGTGTCATTGCAACCATTGACGGCTCCCAAATAGTTCTGTCTACCCAATTTTAATCACAAGGCTTGCGATAACTCGTGGTTTTCCAGCACCTTCCAAAGGCATCGCGCGCTGGGATCGCCTCCCCAACCCGGTATCATAAAACAGTGACTTCCTTATAATTTGACCATGTTGAGATTCGAACACGGGTCTCATGGTCTGAAAACCCACGTTCTAACCACTTGACCATAAGTACAATAATACACACGAAGTTTTTTTTTTTTTTTTTTTTTTACTGTACCTGTACATGGGAGAGTCGATGCCGTAAGTAGAAAGTGTCAAGAAAGGAGAAGAGGAGAGATTATATTGTTTGCAAAAGGAGTCCTCTTCCATAAAAAATAACAAAAAAACCTCAATGGGTTATTTAATGCCGACAAGATTCTTATTGCTAGTAATATTTTTTTTTCCAAAAATGTATTGCTGCTAATAATTTTTCCTTCACAAATTCATTGCTGGTAATACTCTTACAAAAATGTATTGCTGGTATTAAAACTCACTTCTACACCTTCACAGTGCCCCCGACGCCAGCTTGGTGATCAACTACCTGCCCATAGCCGAAACCCCAACAGGTGCCAGCACCTCGGGCCAGGGCGGACTCGGGAACATCAGGTAGTTCTACGCTCTCCAAAGCCTCCCAATCAGAGACCCCACAGCTGGATGCAGTTCTTCGTCCCACCCAGGACGTGGATGTAGTTTATCGTCTTACACAGGATGTGGATGTAGTCTATCGTCATACCCAGGACTGGCACGTGACTATGTTTGAGATTCATCCGAACCTTCGTCTTACTAAAAATTTGTCCAATGAGATTTGATTTCTAAGTTTGAAAAAGTTTCTAAAGTGATAGAGGCCATTGTCATTGAACATGTTTCTGCAGCGGCTTGCTACTGTTTCGTCAGGGTGATGTCGTTCCACGAAACTTAGCAAATCGCTTCATTTTACCCCAAATTCAGTAGGTTTACGTGTTCGTCGCCCGAGTCGCTTTTTGTACGTAAAATCTGTTTCAAACCTATTTGTTGGTGATGAGAGGCGTTCGTAACCCGAGGTTCTATTGTAGTTCTTTCTTTTTTTATTATTATTATCTGTTATTGCTCTAAGTCGCTTTGGCTCGCCACCTGCAAGCTATATTCCCATTTTTAATAAAACTGACATTTTAGAATGTAGCAATTGTGCTGGAGTAACAAACTTTTGACACATCTTTAAATATTATGACGTGTGGAATTCCTAATAATTTCCTAAAAAATGATTCTGGACTCAAACTTTTGCTTTACCCGGATACCGATAAAACAAAAAAAAAAGTGAAAATAGTGTAAAGTAATTCTTGCATATTCATGCAGAGCTGAGGTCGAAAGCCACAAAGCCAGATGTAACATCTGGGATACAGAAAATAGAAAACTTGGATTTGAGAGAATAGTCCCTTCCAACTATTTTGCTCTCAACGGAATTTAGTAGTTGGTATGAAGCTTCAAATGATTTTGTGTGCATGAATAACTTCAGCTTATTATTTCTAGAAGCAGCTGTTTCGGTAAGCCGTGATATCAAAAGTGAGGTTTATTAAACAAACTTGTATACCCAGGTTTGATAGGATGTTTTATTTTTTATTATTATTATTATTATTATTATTATTATTAATTCTTTGCTATTATTAGAAGGTTTTCACATTTGAAACTTTAATTGTATTTTTTTCTAATTAATATTAGTGAACTTTCCCGGAGTCGGTCTTTCCAACTCCTTGTTTCGTAAGCATTTTCGAACAGTTTGATACGGCTAAAGCGAAGAAAGAGCGACATTTCTTTGCGAAGGAAAGAGAGATAGTTCCAGAGCAGTACAAGCTTATAGTTATTATAGCTATTGCAGTCAAAGGTTTACAAATATGCCTGGTGTGTTCTATCTATCTATCTATCTATCTATCTATCTATCTATCTATCTATCTATCTATCTATCTATCTAATCCTGTTCATTATCTATCTCTCTATCCATCTAATTTTGTTCATTATCTTATTCTCATCATTATCTATCTATCTATCTATCTATCTATCTATCTATCTAATTCTGTTCATTATCTATCTATCTATCTATCTATCTATCTATCTATCTATCTATCTATCTATCTAATCCTGTTCATTATCTATCCATCTAATTTTGTTCATTATCTAATTCTGATCATTATCTATCTATCTATCTATCTATCTATCTATCTATCTATCTATCTATCTATCTATTTATCTATCTATTTCTGTTTATTATCTATTTTAACAATATATATATATATATATATATATATATATATATATATATATATATTAAAATCTTTAAAATTAAAAGTGCTCAGTATCAAAGCATAGATATAATGTATAAAAGTGAACACCGAGGTCAGTACCAAGCAGTGACTGTTTCATACTTGAATGCATTTTCCTGGGTATGCGTGTAGTCTTTTGGTTCAATTTTATTTCTATATGCTGATCAATGTTGCATTATGGCTAGTGAGGTCTATTGCATTATTCGAACGGTTAGGGGGTAAACGGTCACCTTTATGTTTGAAATTATTCTAGAGGTTATTGAGTAGGAATAATTGTAGAGATCCGAATACAATTAGCTATTTTGTTGCTTGTAAACTTTTTACCCATTATTCATTAATGATTATTTAATTATTCCTTGTTATTATTTCATTCATTAATGCATTTTTGTGTTCATTCGTAGCTTGTTAATTTGTTTTTTAAACGTTTCACCACTAGCACGCAAGGGGTTACAGAGAGTTGGAGCGAGAGTAAATAGGAGTGATAGAGGAAAGGACGAAGAGACGGCTAGGGGATAGATCAGGGCATCTGAAGACGTCGATTGACGTTACATTTGAATAGTTGGAGATTATAGCTATCAGGAAAACAAGAAATGGAGAGGGAGTTCCACAGTCGAGAGGAATTGGAGTAGAAGAGACTGCTACATTTAACAATTTCAGCAGTGAAAGAGTAAGTGCAAGATGCCAGCCTAGTTGAATGCTTAAATTCATGAAGTCTGGGAACCAGCGAAAGCAGCTCATCGAAGCAGTTACCATGAAAGTATTTGTAAAAAAGACAGAGGGAAGCGACGGCACTTAGATAATGTAACATGCTTTAGACAAAGCCTATACTTTAAACAAATATGATATCCCCACCAAATTGAAATAAAATAAAATAAAATAAATAAATATACAAAATGGACAAAAATCTTAGTAAATAAGTAAACTAATTAAGTAAATAACGGAAAATTTGTTTTGTTTCTGTATTTTGAGATAAGTTTTGATCATTTATTCCGTAATTTGTCTTGTTCTGGGAAGGTGATTAAAGCTATTTTCTTCTCCAGACAAAGTTTATTATTATTTATTTATTTATTGTTGTAGGCTGGTGGTGTTTTTCTTATGTTCCATGATATTTTTGATGCAATTTGTCTTTAATTTCCTATATATGTTTTGAAAGCATTGTGCTGTTTGCATATTTACTATTTGTAAATGGTGTTTTGTATGTGAAATTTATATGTTTCCAGGGTACTTCAATTACTCCTATATATAGTTTTTCTTCTTTATCAGTTGATTTTACAGTTGCTTAAATATTATATTGTTTTGTAAGCAATTGCCATTTAAGAGACAGTTATAGGTGGGATTGGGTTGTGCTTTTTATTATTTGTGATATTTTCTTAATGCAATGTATATCTGGTGCACAACGTGTCACTTTTATATTTGTATACACACTATTCCTGATATTGAGCATTTTTAACCATAAATCTAGCACACTTTCTCAAAACTTTATTTTTGATCATGTGTCTTATCATAGGTTTAATGTGATAATATTAAGAATCATATCCCAAGATCTGAGTTGCTTAACACATATACGTCGAAAAAGCGACCTGAGAATCCAACAATAACGAACGATAGTCCACGCGGGCTTCTGATAATATGTAGATAGTTAATAGGCCGGTTAATGAAAGAATCACATATTAAAGGATTA